CCTAAACCCTAAACCCTGAATGATAGTGGCAACATACTGCTCTCAGCGGCTCTGGGTCTGGTGTATCTGGGCTTTCGGGCCTATTCCAAGAGGCTTCCATGGCTGACAGCAAGCGGGGAGGGCTCAGAGTTTAGGGTTTCAGGGTTGAAGCGGGGAGGGTTTAGAGTTTAGGATTTCGGGGTTGAGCATTTGGGGTTTAGGTTGAAGCTTTAGAGTTTTACGGTTGAACATGCAGGAGCAACTGGAAGGGCACGTATTCCCGCCTGAACGAGGGTGTACAGGTGCACCCGCTGGATGGGAAGCTTCCGAACGTAGTGGTACCTTACACGCATCCTAAAGAATGACATCAACATAGGTAGTTTTCTAAATTAGGGCCCCTTTTAGGGTTCTTTTTTTAAGGGTGCCGTATTATATTGGGGAGCTACAACTACCCATATCCAGTCCATGCCATAGTTCGACGCTTTCGAACTTAAGTCCCTGAGAAGATATGAAACCCGGGGATCTGCAAATCAATAGGGTTCTTCCCATAGGCCTCATAGTAGTTCCTTTTTGTGGCTTATAGTTAGGATCCTATTAGGTAATCCCCAAAAGGAACTACTATGGGGCCTATGGGTTTCGACAAAGCCTGCTACCCTAAACCCTCTTCTTTGATATTGGCCGTCTGTGTGTACCGTGGCGGTGTTCGAACACTTTGAGGACAAGGGCAAGGCCTCTTTCTCAGGACTGGCTCTTACGAGAAAAAGGGTTTAGGTTTTAGGGCCGTTTAGGGTTTAGGGTTTGTGGTAAAAGACAAGTATCGCGCGCACACACACACACACGGAACACACTTATACAGATATATATGAATATATATATATATACACACAAACATACTGTTGTATTTCCACCCCATCCGTACCTTGCACACTGACGCATGAAGTGCAACGGCAGACGGGTGAACTAGCCACAACGATCCCGCATCTGCGGAAAGCCCCTAAACCCTAAACCCTAAACCCTAAAACCCTAAACCCTAAACCCAGAAAGATGTTGTTCTATAGTGTGTGAAGCTCTCCAGGAAGTGGTGCATACTGGAAACCCTAGTGGTATCTGCTCGAAAGTCGGCTGTATGCTTCCGGGTTTAGGGTGTAGGGTTTCAGGTTTTGAGATTTTGGCTTGAGGTTTCGGGGGCTTGGGATTTAAAGGCTTAACGTTCTGGGTTACAGGAGTCCAGAAAACAGGCAAGGTGCTGTGGGTACTTGGAGGAGTCCCAGATGAGCCACAGCTTCAAGCGGTCGAAGAGGTTGTTGCCGGTCAAGCTCGCAATGCCCATGTAGAAGAAGACGCCTTGCAGCACGGAGCGCGGCAAGAACTTGAGTGCAGGTGCCAAGAAGAGAGCGCAACCAACCAGGATGTGGATGAGGAAGTTCGTCAGGCGATTCCTAGCTCATGGCTGGGATAGAATTGAACATGTATATCGCTTATTGAGTATTGGGTTTATGTAGCCGTAAAAATGTAAAATGATACCCAACTATGACAAAGACTCTCCACCACCTTCGTAGGCACCTTGCGCTCCCCACCTGGCATCTGCTGCACGTCGTACGTGGTCAGCGAGATCACCTGGTTCCGTGTTGGGCTATTTTAAAAACGGGTTATGTTTAATCCCTACTGGGCTTTATTACAACAAAAATGTGGGTAGTTGTCAAAATTATGGTTCCTTTTGGGGTACCCTAAATAATAGGTGCCGTACTATAATAAGGACCCAGAAAGGGACCATAATTTTGACAACCACCCATGTAACTGTAACACTGTACCCAACAAGGACTCGGTCACGTGCGTAATGCTTGGCACCGTCGAGGCCACGGAAAGAGGCAGGCCGAGCACAGCGCAGGCGGGCAGAGTCAGTGCTCCACGCACGAACAAGTCCTGGGTTGCAACTTATGGGCCCCCGGACCCCTAAACCCTAAACCCTAAACCCTTAAACCCTAAACCCTAAACCGCTTACAAACTCACAAAGAATTAAGAACATTCAAAAATCCAAAAATCCTCGCTTGCCACCGGGAGTCAAGATGATAACCGGGCGGCTTGGCGAGTCCGTTGGAAGGCCTGTTCACAATCACAGAGGTGAGGTTTTGGTCCAGGTAGCCCAAGGGTTTAGGGTTTAGGGTTTAGGGTTTAGGGTTTAGGGTTTAGGGGTTCAAAGGCCTGTTCACAATCACAGAGGTCAGGTTCTGGTCCAGGTAGCCCAAGACTGCGAAGCCGATCGCCTGGGTTGCGCCATGGAGGGGAGCCCGGATTATGAAAAAAGGGAACCCTAACCCCTCAAACCTTAAGCCCTAAACCCGCAGACCCTATACCCTAAACCCTACCCTACGGGTCCAAAGCACCTAATAATTAGGTACTTGGTTTAGGGGTAATAGTTTTGTAGGTTAGTATTTGGGAGAGTATCTGATTATTAGGTACTTGGACCCTTAGGGCTAGAGTTCACCCTAAACCCTAAACCCTAAACCCTAAACCCTAAACCCTAAACCCTAAACCCTAAACCCTTCAAGCAAGCTCACCGGGAGAATAGCGAAGGCGATGCCCCAGGCCGGGAAGGGGCGGTCGATGCCCGCCGGATTCACGATCCAAGGCCGCTTGCCTTAAAGGATGCTGAAGGGTTTAGGGCTTCGGGCTTTAGGGAGAGGGGGGTAAGGAAAATAAGGACTACGAATGCTGATGGACAAAATTCTGCATGACCCAAATATAGTATAGTACCACAAATCCCATAGTTTGGGTATATAAGGTCATGCAGGATTTTGTCCATCAACCGTATGAGAGATTTGGGTTGCCTTCAGGGAGAGTCGAGCAAGGAACCAAAAGGACTTGTACGTGGTTAGGGCCCAGCATGCAGGGCTTAGAGTGTTTAGGGTTTAGGGTTTAGGGTTTAGGGTTTAGGGTTTAGGGTTTAGGGTTTAGGGTTTAGGGTTTAGGGTTTAGGGTTTAGGGTAGTTTTCAGGGTAGGGGGAGTGGAGGAAGGAATCCTAGGACTGCTGTAGGGGATTAGGGATTACGGGGGTTTAGGGGTAGGGTCTGGGGCTAAGGTACTAACACGGGCTCCATAGGGACTACCTTAAGAACCCAGAACCCACTTTTTTGTAGGTTCTTATTATAAACCCTAATATGGGATTTATAGGGATTTTATCATAAGGTAGGTTTTGGGTTCTTAAGGTATGATAGGAATCCACTCTCCCCCTAAAGCGCAAGTTGCTTCCGTCGGCAAGGACCAGGTTCGGCGACAAGTCTGCATCCACCTGAGGTTTAGGGTTTAGGGTTTAGGGTTTTGGGTTTAGGGATTGGGGTTTGGGGTTTAGGGTACCTGGGGATGCATGTCTAGGAGTGGTATGTAGTAATGACATCTCCTTATCGTCCCCGTCATAACTATAGTACATGATGGGCCCCATAGCGTAGTGTGATGTATTCTGGGCCCTGAAACCCCAAACCCTAAACCCTAAACCCCACTCTGATTATTCACGCCATAGCTTCACCTAGAGAGGGTCAGCTCGGGGATCTCGATTCTTGCTGTAGTCTTGACAGGTAGATGGTGATGTTTGCAGTTCAGGAAGCTAGGGTTTAGGGTTTAGGGTTTAGGGTTTAGGTACTCTAGCCCTAAGCTCCCGTTAGCCGACTCCCATTTCAGAACCAGGCCCGCCTGCAACATCCGGAGGTTTGTATCACCGGAATAGATGGCCGCAACGGCTGAGGCGAGCACGAGGGCGATGGTCACGGCAAAGTTGGCGAGGAGATTGCGGATAGACCGGAGCGCCCAAGGCTTGCGGCGGAAGTGAGACAAGTATGTCGCCGTTCCGAAGGTCAGGAGGAAGAGCAGCATTTCGAACATGGCATTGGTGAGGGGCATCACGTTCTCTGAAAAATTCTCGATGAGGGGGCGGGCTCCATCGATAATGAAGATGAGAGAAATTAATCCTAGGCTGTTCAATAGCCCGCCAGGAGGAACAGGATATGCTTGCTGCGGCTAGTTTTACTATATGCGAATCCCACAAAACCCAAAACAACAACACTTTTCTCTAGACAAGCTCTAGAATCCAGCGAAGATATCTTCACTGAACATCGTCACATGCTTCATCAGAGCACACATGTCGAAAACCGCACACAGGATAGTGAAGAGGGAACACCACATGCATGTCCAGAAGTAGAAAGGCATGAACTCAATGTCAGCGCCCGTAGCCAGGTCATAGACAACGAGGGTGTAAGCCAAGAAAGGGCCGGTTGCTCCAAGAATCGACAAGGGCTGCCCTGCAAATGTGGAGAACAGTAGACCGCTGATGCAGGTGGACATGATCATCCTTGGGTCAGAACCAGGTTAGGGTTTAGGTTTTGGGTTTAGGGTTGAGGGTTGAGGGTTTAGGGTTTAGTTCAAACACTCAAACTCTAAAAAGACAACTGGCCTGAACCCGATAAAACCTGAAAACGATAAACCCAGCCAGCTCTAAAAAACAACTACAGTATGTCAGCCCGAATCTTAATTCATTAGCAACCTGGAAAGCCCCTTAGACCCATGATAGACATCCTACCTTCATCAACCTCTTGGACAGACACTGTAAAGCGAACAGGAACATAGCTCTTAAGCCCACGAAACCAAGAAACCCAAAACTCTTAGTTTAGGGTCTAGCGCTTCGGGTTTGGGGCCAAAGGTATAGGGTTCAGAGTTAGCAAAAACCCCTTCTCCCTTGAACCCAAGCCCATTGGCTGCATGGTATCTAAGCCCCTATGGTTGGGATTTAGGGTGCAGGGGGGCCGCTGGGGTTCGCATGTTTGCTGCTTGGGATCACAATGGACTTCAACCACGAAGCATGACAAGTCCTGAACCTCGTGCGCCGTCCTAGCGGCTCTGAACCGTTCTGTCAGTAGAGCATGGCTAAAATACATCGCCAACTCCTACGCACACTCCGCACCACCGTTCGGAGCCCCAAAAAAAAGAGAAATCCCACTCCCAAACTCAACAACCCTGCCGACTCAGAGGGTCCGGTAGGAAACTTGGAGCCCGACCTCCTGGGCCTAGCATAAACTTTAGGGCTTAGCATGGTTTAGCGTTGTTTAGGGTTTAGGGTTCAGGGTTTAGGGTTCCATACTTCAAAACTTTGGGTTGCGAAGGCCATACTTCGGGTTATGGTTTAGGGTTACCAGGTCTTGAGCCTGAGGGGAAGGTATGACCACTACATCGACCCGAAACTGCTCTAGCCCCCTATATGGCCCTATGTCAAGTATTGCTTAAGGCGGTAGGCCCTTAATAAAACTCCAAACCTCAAACCCTAAAACTCAAGCCTAAACCCTGACCAACGGCCAAGCACCTCGACTGGATCCCATTATATAGATCCTTATCAAGCCCGTTAAAGACATGATAACCAAGATCCCGTAACAAAACCAATGCTAAACCCCTTGTAACCCCATCCCTAAACCCTAAACCCTAAACCCTAAACCCTAAACCCTAGACCCTAAACCCTAAACCCTAAACCCTAAACCCTAAACCCCAAACCCTAAACCCTAAACCCTAAACCCTAAAATGGCCAGGCATCTCCAGCACTCCAAACTGACCATTCGTGCCATCCAGGAATCGACTGCCGAACCTGGGAGCATCTGCTAGGCCACGGTTAGACTTTAGGGTTGTTTTTGGGTTTAGGGCCCTAAACCCTAAACCCTGAACCCTAAACCCTAAACCCTAAACCCTGAACCCTAAACCCTAAACCTTTAGGGTTTAGGGTTTAGGGGGCCTTTTCCCCAACGGCAGGACAGCTAGAGGTCCTGAGCAGGTTGAGCCTGCATGCCAGGCTTCAGGACTTTAGGGTTTGGGGCTTAGGGTTTAGAGTTTAGGGTTTAGGGTTTAGGGTTTAGGGCTGAGGGTTTTAGGCCGCGTTGACGGTTAGGGTCTTTCAGAAATGGTCCGAAGCGCTGAACCCCTTCGAGTTCTTTGTGGTTGCTGGATTTTTAGGCTGTATTCCGCAGGGTTAAACAGGCTTGGGTTTGGGTTTAGGTTTTAAGACTTATTGATTTAGAGGGTCTAGAGATTAATGATGAACGATTCGGCTGCTTTTTCCGGTTGTTTGAGCTTCAGGTTCTGCGGCCCATAGGGTTCAGGATGTAGCCCCCGAGCTTATGGCGGAGAGAGTAGGCTTTCGCGCTTTTGGGAAACCTTGGCATGTGTCTTTTCTAGAGTGAAAGGTTAGGATGCGCTTAGGAAGTAGGTTATAGGTGCAATGTAAGGCTGTTAACTTTTTTTATTTGGGCGTCATCAGAACACCTCTAAACTAACGATTCTATAATACTTACTAAACGCTAAATCCTAAACCCTAAACCCTAAACAAGCAGGGGGTTACGACGGCGCAAGGCTTCAGTCCCAGGCAGACCGGAACGTGGCACCCAAAGCCGAAGTTCAGGATTCGGGGACTGATTCGGATTCAGGGTTTAGGGTTTAGGGTTTAGGGTTTAGGGTTTAGGGTTTAGGGTTTGGGTTTAGGGTTTAGGTTTAGGGTTTAGGGTTTAGGGTTTTAGGTTTAGCCCCCCCTAAACTAAACCCTAAACCCTAAACCCCAAACTACCTTAAGCTAATCAACCACACATCTTGGCCTAGGGCCCTAAAGAGCGTTTCTTCTACAGCAAAATAAGTCCCTAAACCCTAAACCCTAAACCCTTAACCACTAAATAAGTTTGATAGGAGGTTACATCAAGCTTTAGGTCGGCGAGGGTAAATACCTCAAACCTTAAGGACCGAAAGCTTTCAAAACCCCTGACTCCGATACTTTTCAACCCCCAATGCATGGGGTTTAGGGTTTAGGGTATAGGGGTTCAGAGTCTAGGGTTTAGGGGTTTAGGGTTTAGGGTGTATGTGAGTGTATGGTCCTGGATTTAGGGCTGGCTTGCGACCATGCCATGGGTGTTCGGCGGGTTCTAAGGTGCGCGGTGGCTGAGGACAATGACAATCCGAACGCTTCGCTTCTGTCCACGTCACCGGTCTCTACAACCTATACAGGCCCTCATAGTCACACCATACTTTAGACAACATAAATGTATGCATATGTATGTATGTATGTATGTATGTATGTATGTATGTATGTATGTATGTATGTATGTATGTATGTATAGATATATATATATATATTCTCACACAATAACTGTATATGGAGGATAAGTGGATAGAATTGCTAGTTAGTCAAACCCCAATGCGCGCATGAGGTTGCTAAATGGTTTTGGGGGTTTGGTATTCAGGGCTCATAGCTCCCTTGAGTGGTTTGCACGGGTTGCATAAGGGTACTAGAGGGCTTGTTTCTTTTAAGGGATTCCTTGTGGAACTGCCATGGGCTTACCCTCAAGTACCCACTTACCCAATCCTTGTAAACCGTTTGGTTCTCAACCATACAGAAGCCCATGGTTGAGGGTTTAGGGCTTAGGGCTTGGGGTTTAGGGTTTAGGCTTCAGGGTTCAGGGGTTTAGGTTTCCTTCGCAAGCCTCTAACGAAGCTGGGCGGCGTGATTGCTGGTGCAAGGGCAGCAATGAATAGATACAAAATGGAGGAGACTGACTTCTGGAGGTTGTCGCCCTGGCATAGGTTGGGTACTGCCCCCATACAGGAACAGTCTATAGTAGGGCTACTACTGATGGCCTAATATATCCAGAATATAAATATTATCCGACTGTTACTGAGTCGGGGCAGTACCCAAGGCATAGGCTTTGTAGGTTGCGGCTCTGCCATAGGCTTCGTGTTCAGGATGCTCGGATAGACTTTGGATTTCTAAAACCCCAAACCGTAGGCCCAAAACCCTAAACCCTGAACTCAATCCTAAACTCTGACGTCCAAGGCCCAGGATGAATCGGTCGAAAGTTGCAGGCACGCGCCTAAACTCCTACGGTCCTACACAACCCCTGTTCAGAAGCCTGTAGAACACCGAAGGAAAAAAAAAACAACTCAGGCAGGTAGTCGGAGCCCAAATAGTTACAGTGTTGGGGCAGGTACTACGATACTTCAACTACGGACCCCTAACTTCTTAAATATTCAAGTGTTAACCTGTTAACCTAGACTGAAGTCAGTGCAAGGACTCCGAACCCTTCGTCCGCGGTTGCCTCGCCTTGCAAATGTTCAGGACAAACCCAGAACCCCAGTGCTGGTTTACGGAGCAGGAAGAGGGCACGCCTGTAGTCTGGGTAGTGTACCTTGAAAAAAGCATGAAGCACTGCCTGCTGTCATAATGTAGGGCCTCAAAAAAATCAGAATAGGGTTTTGGCATGTGTTATAGAAGTATAATATCGGAACCCTCAGGAAGAATACTAGTAGTCACTGAAGGCTCCTGTATTGCCCCACACCCCTGCTACTAGAGACCACGAGTCTCAAAGGTTCCTGGGGGGCCCACTAATATCAAGGGCCCTAAACCCTAAACCCTAAACCCGGTAATATAAGGGGGTTTAGGGTTTAGGGTTTAGGGTTTTGGGGTTTAGGGCCTACTAAGTAACACCAATATGGCCTTGGGGGAGACCAGCACCTCAGACAAAAGACTCTGAATCCAAAGACCACAGCTGTTAGGGATGTAGGCAGCCACATTGGTTGAGCGTTTTCTTTTGAGGGAAGGCCTAAGCCATGAAGCTTGAAGTTTAAAGGCTGAGTGTTCAGGGTTCAGGAAATGCTCGTACCTGCTTAAGCTAAACCCTATAAACCCAGGGAACACCACAAACCAAGCCGAGAGCCGTGAACGCAAGACCGCAAATGCCTCAAGCTGCAAACCCAATGCACGGGCGTTAATATTTAGAATAGGGTTTTGGGGTATCTTATACTATAATTACAATAAGGAACCGCAAAATAGTATTGGTAATTATTGAGGCCCCTACATTACCCACCAACTTAGTGGTTCATTGGTTCAGAAGTCCACGTCTCGGTCGCTCAGACGTACACCCTTAACCTCTTGAACTAATGGTCAGCCAAGATCCTACATTGGCCTTAAAAGCACACTAAGCCTAAACAGTAGCCCCAGAAAACCCACTGACATAGAACCCGAATAGAACCCTTCCAGATGCCCTACAGCACCCGTATAGAGTCCTTATACAAGCCATATAGAACCCCTCGTAGAACCCTTGCAGAACCCTCTACGACTCTATACATCCTGGACCTGACCAAGGCCCTCCCGAAAGCAGTAACCTTTACCCTGAAAGCCTACACCCCGAAGCCCAAAAGCGTTTTGGGCCTGGGGCTTGGGCTTCAGGTTTAGGGTTTGGGGTGGCCTTGAAAGGATCCGTCCAGTCGCTGCAGTACAGCGGCGCACGCCTGGTCGGGGGCTTGGGGCTGTGAAGTCTTGTATGCGG